TTGGCAGTTAAAGCATCCATTTGAGAAAACTGTTCACTTTTGATAGGTCGTGTTCTAACCTCTTTCTGATTTAATATCTGTGACTTTCTTTCATAATGACATGATTTATCGTGAAACAAAAACTTTTAGTCCAATCATCCTTGCTTAGTATAACAGGGAATATTATAAAATATTGATAATAATAAAATTATAAAAAAAAATATTACAATAGAAAAAATAAATTCAATGAATTTCGGTTATAGAATATTTTATTTCATTTTCCAACAAAAAATAAATAATTTTAATTTTAAAAACAAGCAAATTATTATTTTAAATACAATGCAATTGCATATTTGTCATTAGGTTATAGTAAATTTTACATGGCTATAATTTTGTAATTAATACATAATCTTCATATATTAACAAGATAAGTATTTTTTAAAAATTAAAATCTAAAACAACCATGACAGTTTCACTGAATTCAAATATGAAAAAACTCTTTATGCAGAAAAATATTTCATTAAAAAAAAATGAATCTACTATTTTTTTTTTTTAATATCTGAACCTGACAATGATACGAAATATGTTTGACGAACAGACGGTATGACATGAAACTAAATAATTAGAACAAATAAAAATACTTATTAGTTTAAATTTAAATAGGTTAAGCATTTATTTTATGAACAAACGAAATCATTTTAAATAACTAAATAGTATTTGTAGAGAAACCTTTTTCGGGCCAGCTCTCTCAGCACTTCCATTTTCTCTCGGAATTAACAATCATCTGAATTGAGTTCGCAACCAGGGCCATTCACTGAAGGAAACAAAATTCACGTCAACTCCAGGCCTCGAAACGGGGAGGGCTACTTACACAAATTAAATAAATGTTTAATTTTCTCGGGGTATTTGGGTACACTGAATAAACAGAGGCTTGATCCTTAATTTAAATTAAAATCTAACCTATGTTTATTTACAATTATTTTAAATATTTGTAAAAAAAAAAAAAATAACAAAACTAAACTGATTTAAATATGTTTTTCACCGTGACGTGTGGAATTGATATAGAATTAATTCTTAACATATTAATTACAATTTTATTAATTTATGCATACCCTTATTTTTATTTTATTTTTCAACACAATTCCTTCAGATTTCATAATTTTGGTACAAGATTCAGGAAAAGTCCATCCTTTTATTTGAATTGTCAATTCTTACAGTTTCTGGCATTTTAAATATATTATATTTTCATGGGTGATAAATAGTCAGGACGCAGACATTATATAATTTTTTTTATTTGTGCCAACGTTTCAACCCAAACATGTGGGTCATCTTCAGGGCTGAAAATTTTAAAATACAATCAGAGATATAATATTATACGACCGATAATGGTAAATAATAAACTATAGTGTTATGAATCTTAACTATTATTACAATACACAACATTTTTTTATTTTTTTTTATTATTTATGAAATTTACAATTGTACATTTAAAATAATACACAATACTAAAAATGAAATATGTAAATTTTATTCATCAATCACTATAGTTTATATTTAGCATTATCGGTCGTATAATATATCTCTGATTGTATTTTAAAATTTTCAGCATTGAAGATGACCCACATGTTTGGGTTTAAAAGTTGGCACAAATAAAAAAAAATTTATAATGACTGCGTCCTGATTATTTATCACCCATGAAAATATAATATATTTAAAATGCCAGAAACTGCAAGGATTGACAATTAAAAAAAAAAAGGATGTACTTGTCCTCAACCTTGTACCAAAATTTTGAAATCTGAAGGAGCTGTGTTGAAAAATAAATTAAAAATAAGGGTATGCATAAATTAATAAAATTCATTCATGTAGTTCACTCAGTTTTTAAAACTTAGCACACCCCTTTTGAATCTTGAAACAAGGCTTATTTCTTAGAAAAATACAATATTAAATGTGAAATAAAATATTTGTTTTAAAGCATTCCTTCTTAAATATTAATGAGATATAAAAATGCCATACTCCATCATAGTTAGTTACTGGAAAGCTTTGGAATTAAATCAGTAAAAATTTAAATATCATATTAAAGGTATAAATTTCATGCCAGCATAGTATTTTTTTATAAAATATTCTGTTAAGTGCAATTTAGGTTCAGTTTGATATATCTAATGCGAGGAAGTGGAGAGTAACCCCATTATAAGTTAAAATTTGTTACCACAAAAAAGAAAATTTGCGTTGTGTAATATTGGTTACATATCATAATGAGTATTAAAATTTTTTCTCAATATTTCGTAATTATAATTTAAAAAAAAAACAATAGCTACGTCAGGTGTATTATATTACTTTAAATAAAAATTACCTGACACAAATTATGTTGAATGGACAATAGGTATCACTCATGCTGAATTCTCGAATGAATTCCTACTTTTAAGGTTTTACACCGCAAACGACATTGCAATAATTTATTTTTTCTTATTTATATTTTATTTCTTAATTAATTCTTATTACTTCAGTATTTTCCAAGGTATGTACATATAACTAAAATAAGGGTAGATAAAATTCCTAATTTTTATTTGGTTCGAAAAAATATAATATTAATTTATAAGTAAACTTTTTTTTATTTACAATTTTTACTTACTGATAAATATTACAATCTGTCTCAATTAAGGACACTTATAATAGAGTTCAGAGAGAACATTCACACCATATTTACGGAATCATAAATAAATAAGGTAATAACAAAATAATATACAGCGAAATAAGAACAAAATAAAATATCAAAACGAGGGAAAAAAATAATAATAATGTTAAAATAAAAATAAATTAAAAAATAAAAATAAACACCTTAGACGCAAGCATACTACCTATATACACTATTTCCAATCGGCCAGAGAAACCACAAACCAGACTTGTCCCCCGACTTGCGGAGGGAAAAGCGAGGCTTCAGGAGATCTCTGCGCTTCTCCCTCAACCGCTTCACTGGTATTAAAAGCCAGCTGAGTACAACTCATGACTTCAGTGGAGAATCTGGCCATTGCCAAAACTCCAATATATACATGATACATAAACCAGAGATAAAAAATGTTAATATAATAAACTGATTTTACTTTTGGTTTATTAATTTCAATAATGAACCTTTGTAATTGGCCAAACAATTCAAAAATTTAACCCTCTCTCAACATTTGAGGTGTTACGTTTCAGGACACGTAGAATTCGAAAAACGAATAAAAAGCTATTTGTCCATCCGCCGTCCGTGCATTTTTTCCGAAACTACTGGACCGATTTTTTTAAAATTTGGTTTTAAAATCAGAGGTCACTCGAGGATGATCCTCCTTTATCGATATTACGAACCACCTTTTCCTTTCAATTTTTTTTTTTAAGTTTACGAAGTTAACTAAAAAACAAAAAAAAAATCGTTAAAGTCGGACAATTAAGAGCAAAGATAATGGTCTCTAGATATTTTTTATGTTCTACTGAAAATCCTTTGTTTTGGATTTTGATTTTTGAATGTGTTACTGAAGTAATGCTATTTTTTTTTTTTAGCAAATAACTAATGATGAAAAAAAATGTTCAGGCAAATAATTGGAATTAACTTTTTATTTATTTTAATTTGTCACTAGAAAGGTAATGTTACTTTAAATGTATAATTGTTGGGAAATAATAAACCATTGTGAAATAATTTGCAACTTTTTTTTTTTTTGTTAATACCTTTATACAAGTATTTCTATATCCTTACTCTCATATTGAAACATTCGCCCTTTTGCAACCTTTCTCTACTTTACAGATTCGATCCAAGGCTTTCGTAGCCTTCTTATGCCTGACATATGAATTAAGAATTATCTCTATTTCATAAACACATACAAGTAGTTATTAAAAACAATAACAACTCCGATTAATTGAAAAGCTATAAATAATGAACGAAGAAACTGGGTGTCAAAGACTAAGTATCCAAAATGTTCCTAACTTGAAGTTTATTATTTCAGTAGATTTTGCATTTTTTATAGAAATTATAGGATTCTCTCAGCGTTTTAATTAATTTATCGAAGTTTCTGTCTGTTTCCTGTTTTATCAACATGACGCCAGGATATGAAACTTTAACGAATTCCATCAGTTCGAAATAACCGTCTGGTGTAAATGTGGCGTAAATATTTTATCAAAGGAAAGAAAATAAGGTTGCGGGCATTCATAACCACATATATGGCAATTAAGGGTTGATTATGGCTATTTATTATAATTTATTTAATTTTAAATATTTCAACTAATCTTATCTTTTAATCGGTGTTCATAGGATTATGTTACTTGGTATGTGTGCGTTCTAATTTTCTAATTTTGGAATTGTGGCATTCAAATAGCTTCTTTTTTTTTTTTCTAGTTCAGATTTTATTTCGTATCAGTTTCACCCATATAAATATATTTTGTATAATAGTGATTAAGTATACAGTATTAATATTGTATATGATGAGTGATATGGAAAAGGAGGAAAAGAATTTGTATACATATATAAATATGTGAATCAAGTATAATTAAGTACTATGTCCAAATAAAAATAAAAATTAAAAGGATTGATGAGTATACTGTGTATTGAGCAACCCTATATAATAGGAAAACAATGCTTTAAATAAAGTTAAAATAATTTCTCTTCCTACTATATTACTGCCATTAAACATTTTAATTACTTGTGGGAGAGCTAACTCAGATCATTAAATATCAATACATAAATAGGTTTATGTGCTCATAATGGTTTGCCAAGGTTTTGTTGTTTAACTGTAAAATATTTTGGCTAACACGGAGTATAAAAATCTTAATATAGTAAAAAACGAAAGTTTCTCCTTCAAAATTTATTACTAAATAAAATAATTTAATAACGCAAGCTCAACCCGAAATCTCACTGAGCTATAAGACCCGCGCCCTACGTGATGGCAGCCGGCCATATAGGGCCGGGGCAGATGGGCTATTAAGAACGTATTTCATACACAAACGAGAACGCAAATGAAGTTAAATAGTTTTAGGAAGTTTAATTCCTCTCAGTAATGAAAAGGGTGAGTGAGGACGGAGGCCCCAGGCCCTCGGGAGCTGTTGGCCGGAAAATGTGTACATCACCAACCTCCATAAATCTCTCCCAATGAGTACTTATTCTAAGCACCGCATCCCCTATATAAACGTTTTTATCACTCCGAATGGCGAGTTATTATGATTCATTCCGCTATGTTTTATGCTTAGATACAGTGTATAAGACTCATAAATAACAATATATATGTATGTATCAAATGGAGACATGTATTTGCAACATATCTTAGTTAAAAAACTTACGGAACATAGATTTGCTTTTAAAACTACTAATGGTCCAAGAAGTTCATCGAAAATTTCTGACTAGTCAAAAACATTAAAACGGAATAATTTGAAGAATATTTCTTTAATGTCAATATAACAATAACATAAATATAAAATTATAACAATTATACGTGATCTATTAAACATAACGTTAAATGATCTGAGGTTAATTATTCAAAACATAGGATATTTTGCCAACAAAACGAATTTTCCTGACAATTATGGCTTAAAATAAGTAAAAGAGGATCTGATCCAGTCTTTGAAATAAGTAATACGGACTCAAGGCCATTAACCAAAAAGCCATCACATGCCATTAATTAATTATTCCAAACAGTAACTAAAATATAAATAAATAAGAGTAGAAAATTCCGACTTACCTTAAAAGAACAGATTTTGGCCACATTATGCGTATTTTTCATTTTAATAAACGTTTCTTATATCATACATAAAAAAAAATATTAAAAAAATAAAATAAATAAAAAAATTAAAAAAAAAACACCTGTACCATTACAACGGTTGTGCAAGGAGGTGATTTGATCGAGATCACGCTCAACCGCCAGGTTTTCTCCCTTAATTAATTATTTAATTAAGGGTACAGACTTTATAGAGGCTGGGTGTGCCCCAGGAGAGTCTCCCGACCCAGGGTCACCCCACGGCCAATTAAACAGATAAATAAATTTTCTGCCATGAGCCGGGGTTCGAACCTGGGACCTTTAGCATTGGAAGCTCAGTACCCTACCCCTGAGCTACCCCACTCCCTACATATCACATAAATTTTGACAAAAAAAAGAATAACTGATCCTTTACTTTATGCGTTTTAACTCGCTTTTACAGACAGTTTAAATTGAGTTTATTAACCTCATTTATTTATTTCATGTTCTTGGATTAAGGGTGGTATCCATTGTCGTTCCTCTAACTCCACTCTTCGACGCAGATCCTGTCCTCCAATTCTTTTTAATTCAATTCCTCTTCCCTACTCAGACACAGTCCGATACCTTGGCTTCCTTCTGGACAAAAGACTGACTTGGAACCCACATACGAGACTTAAAAGACAAGAGCTTAACCGACGATTTGGTCAGCTATATAGACTACTAAACAGAACATCTCATCTCTCAACAGAAAACAAATTATTAATCTACAAGACCATACTGAAACCTATCTGGACCTACGGACTTGAGCTGTGGGGGACAACTAAATCATCGAATATCAAACGCATCCAATCCTTCCAGTCTAAAGTCCTTCGAACAATAGTCAATGCTCCATATTATGTCACGAACAAGACCCTACACCATGACCTTAACATCCCATATGTCCATGACATCATCCCATCCAGATTCTCCAACTTTCACCAGAACCTCATACATCATCCCAAACCTCGAGCCCAATCCCTATCCAGCTCCGCTCATCCATACCATCCCCCTCGAAGGTTGAAACGGCAGTGGCCTCGAGATCTTTTGTAAATATGCCTTTGGAGTCCTGGCAATGGCCAGCTTCTCCACTCATGTCCTGAGCGTCTGTGGCTCTAGTGCCCTCTTCCAGTCTCCACTGGCTTCTAATACTAGTGATGCGGCTGGAAAAGTGGCGCTGGGATCTTCCGGAGTCTTGCTTTGCCTTCCACGTGTGGGGGAAAAAGCCTGGTTCGGAGATTCTTGGGCGAATGTATATATTGTATACAGTTATGATTGTGTTTAGAAGTTTTTATTTTATTTTATTTGTTTATTATTATTATTTTTTCTTTTCTTTTTATTTATCTTCTTCATCAGTATTATTTATTTACTTCTTATATTTATATTTATTTCTTTATTATTTGTATATATTGTATGAATGAGAACTTTTAGCCCTAATGCTTATAGCCCTCCAGCAGTGGCTGCATGTATTATTATTCAATAAATAGATTAAAAAAAAAAATTGTCTCCTCTAACTCAGCTTGAAAAAAAGTTATACTTTAATGAAACTCAATGTAAAAGGACTGACTCCTTTCAACAAATTTGATGTTTCAATTTAGAATAACGTTATGACGTTTAATATTTTATAGAAGCTTCTCTCCAATCGAATTGGTTGAAAGAGGCCATTTTTCAATGGGTTTCATAAAACTATTGCTGTTTGACGGGACTTTTAACAACTATGCGACTTTCTAAATTTTTCAGAAAAAGTAAATTGTGTTCTCAAAAAGACGTTTTCTTATTAAGTTTATAAGAGGGCATATTACAATTCATTAAACATCCTATTTTTGGTTTATTATTTTCAATAATGAACCATTGTGATCGCCCAAAAAATTCAAAAACTTAACCTCCTCTCACAATTTGAGGTTTCATGTTTTAGGATACGTAGAATTCGAAAAATGAATAAAAATTGTTTGTCCGTCCGCCGTCCGCGCATTTTCTCCGAAACTACTGGACCGATTTTTTTTTTCAAATTTGGACATAAAATCAGAGCTCACCCGAGGATGATCCTCTTTCATCGACATTACTATCCGCCTTTTGCCCTCAAAATGGCGACCGAAAAACCTGCGTTGCTATAGAATGTAGCGTCTAAACGAATGTACCGATTTCAATGAAACTTCGCTAAAGCCATTTTCTCGAAGCCCTTTAAATTTATCTATGTATCAAACTTCAACAAAAATAAGACGGAAAAAAGTTACGAGGGGCGGTAAAATTAAATTTCGAATAACTCAAAGATTATACACTTTTTTGTTGATATTGTGATAAGATGTTTTAAAGACATAAAATATCCCTAAAAAAAAATCGTTAAAATCGGACAATTAGAGTTATGGTCTCTAGTTTTTTTGGTTTTTTTTTGTATGTTCTACTGCAAGGGTTATATCCTTTGTTTTGGTTTTTGAATTTTGAATGTGTTACCGAAAGAAATGCTTTTTTTTTTTAGCATATTACTAATGATTAAAAAAAAATGTTTAGTCCAATAATTGTAATCACCTTTTATTTATTTTTCTTTGTAACTAGGAAGGTAATGTTACTTTAGATATACAATTGTTTGAAAATATTGTGAAAAAGTTGTATTTGATATTTAGCTTACACCTTTAGCAATATCCATCACTTTATCAATAATTGATGGATCAAGATTGTGAATTTTAGAAAATTCTAGATCAGAAGATTCCATTTAGGTACATGTCAATGAAGTCAAACAAATTTTCTTATTTATCTCGTTGATTAAGTCATATACTCTTCAACTTCTAACAGAAGCGGGAACAATCCAGTTCGACACTACTACAGTGCCTAGAGGAAGCGGGTTAACCACTACCTTCACATCATTCATAATTTGTAAATTAGGCAAAATTGGTGCCGCGGCGCTGGGGGTCGTTAGCGGAATTTGGGGCAAAGTTGGCACTAATATCCGCGCAACAGTACACAGGAGGCTGGGACACATTAAGCAAGTTAAGCCACAACAGTGGGAGGACTTGTTCATTAGCGGCCCGGCCTGGCCCGGCAGCGGCGATGTGTCTGTATTAAGGTAACCTGGGGGGGAGGGGAGGGGGAAGAAGGGGTAAAAGGGAGGGAGGAGCATGATATCCGGTCACTGACCCGTCTTATCTTTACACCTCTATCACGCATTTCGTAATGTTAGTCCTCTCATGGGAGTTTAATACCTTTATGTATAATAGAAGATAAAAAAAAAGGATAAAAAAAAAACAATAATAATTTTTATTCTAGCTAGTTTCGTTAGCTTAAGTGAAAACGAATAAAATCCCAAGCAGTAAAAAAAAAAAAAAAAAAAAAATAGAATTATAACTATAAAAAGCATGCTAAAAGTCATTTAAATATTGTAAAACACGCAGAAGTTTTCGGTAGTCCTGACTTACATTAACCCAGCGAGGACGAACTATAATTCCTACTGCTAAAGAAATCGTTGACTGTACATTTTTATAAGAGAAGTAGGTTGGTGATTTCAATCACTGTAAATGAACAAAAATAAATTATTTTTATTTCCTTTGTGCCGACGTTTCGGCCTAAGCTCCAGGCCTTCATCAGGACAAGGCTCGTTCAAAGGATATAGGACTAATATCAACAGTTGTAGCTACTATCATTTTAAAAAATATAATTCGTGCTTAAAACAAATATGATTCATGCAAAATGGTCAATACGATTAAAATAGTATATTGTATAAGGAACACATTTTTTTATAAATGGGACACCACGATGTAGGCAACATTGATCTTGGAAGGAATGGGTACCCCTGCTTCTGACCACTTGATAACAACTTATCCAACATTGCGCATTTTACAATGTAAAGTTTCAGTACTAGATTATCATGATAAAACTGTTTTTTAAAGAACTGCTAATACCTCATGAAAAACGAATCATAGGTAAACAACTTAAGGGAGATCCTGGTGGGCAGGATTTAGCCTGCGAAAATCCAATCAAACTTGACAAATACGCATTTTATTTTAAATCTTAATTTGCTACATATACCTTCTATCGCGTGAATTAACTCGTTTTAATGAACAAACTAATAATTAACAAGGAATTAAAAAATATAAATGAAGTTGGCTTTTAATTGTATGCCTCATATATACACAGGCACATATATATATATATATATATATATATATATATATATATATATATATATATATATATATATGAACAAACTAATAATTAACAAGGAATTAAAAAACCTTTTTAAGTGGGTACATAAGAAAATACACATATATTCATAAATTTCACCAATATTCTAATTTTATTTAGAACTGAACATAATATATTAACAAAAAATTAAAACAGGTCTAATAAATCACGTGAAGGCAATAAACTAATGTATCTCATTTCACAACCATTATATTCTTAACAATTACATAAATATCATTTGTTAAATGAAAATTGATACCAGACCAGTTATACATTATTCCCCAAGTTTCCTTCAACTTAATTCAAAATCAAAAGGTCCGTTTTTTTTCCTGGAGAAGAAAAAGAAAATGACTGTAGATAGACACGGAATCAAATATGTTCTACTATGTCTAAACATAAAACGCGAGCAAACATTTTTTATAATGAAAAAAAAAACTCCTCCAACACAAACACAAAGCTTCCCTACTTTCGACAGCGAGGAAGCAAAGAAAAACAAACATAAATATTAAAGCAATGAATAAATAAACTATTTATGCATATTTAACTTTTGCCATACTGCATTTCTCTCAAAATATTATTAATTAAAAATTTATACTTTTTTAGTTAACTTTTAGTTTAATAATAAAATATTTAAAATTGTTTCAATATTCATGGAGCATGAAGCACGCCTATCATCCAGTTTTTATGTTGCCAACAAAGTTTCATAATAATACTTAAAATAAATTATTTACATATTTGCATTTTTTTGCTAAATTTTATGTTCTTAGAATATTATCCTATATAATCAACTTTTTTTTTTAAATAATATATAACAAACTTAATTTATCTCTAAATCTTATTTTAATTATTATTATAATTTTTTTTTCTTCATATTTGACTGAAATTAATACGTTATCAATTAATTCTCATTGGTTCTTGATAAGTATAGAGGTTTATTTTCATAATTATTTGAGGTACACTTAAAATATTTGTGCAGACCTAGATTATTTTTTCCAACAGTTTGCAACCATTTTATAGTTGTTTACAATATTTGCGAAGTTGATCAATATTTCTTTTGTTTGATATTCTAAGAAGGTATAAATTTAGCTGAGAAATATAATGTTATAAATTTTCTTTAAGTCGAAATTAATTATTTTAACAGAAATGATACATGAATTTAAAAAAATAAAAGTTATATAAAACCTTTAGTTGAAATGTGATTCACTGATTTTTTATTATATTATTTAAAATTGTAATAAGGATTGAAGTAGTAATTATTTCTCATTGACTTACATTGAGAACATTTTTATTACTATTTTATATCGAGGGAATTTGATATAAAATTGAAACATTCTTTCTATATTAAAATAAAGCTTAGAATTTACAGGCTAATCTAAGTTGGAATCAGTCCCTTCAATGCCTTTGATTCCGAAATGAGATTTTCGGAAATACACTTTACCTAATTCTAGTTACTATCAATGGTATTAATAGCTTTTTCTTTCTGGCCCAATCCGGTTTACTTCCAGCCCTTTCTTTGAAGTATTGTTTACAACTTCATCGTTACTGAATTGGATTATTATCGAATAATCGTCCAGTCAGCGTTAAGGAAAACGATATTGGAAAGAGGATGTGCTGACAAATAAAAATTATCCGTTCTGTAACATTTGAAACTCAGTGATGAAAAAATTGTAGCCATCTATTAAAAAAAAAAAAATCAACATATGTGCAATTTCTTCTGTACGAGATAGGACACTATAATTTTCAAAAATAAGTAAAAAGATTAGAGCTAACTTTAAAGAATAAAAAAAAAAAAATTATCCATTAAACATTGAGATTTGGGAGAGATCTTTAACATCTGGTTCCGTGTAAACTGTCGATAATTTTTATATTATGAATACATCTTATGGATCCGGGGAGATAAAACTTAAGTTGACACATCACATTACTGTTGTATCTAATCCTTCCAATCCAAAATCTTCAATGCCTCTACCTTTGTCACGAATAAAATTATCCGTAATGAACATGTTCCATATACAAGATATTGTCAATCAGAATTAGTAATCTGTGTCAGCTAGTAACTCAAATTGTAATTTACATGTATTCTGTAGTTCAGAATACATTTTTTTTTTTTTTAATATGGCGTAAGGAGGAAAAATAAAAATAAATTATTACACGGTCATTAAAAACGTTTTTATATGTGCCTTTCAGTTAACAGAATGACTAAATCCAATTTCAATATTTTTGATTATTAATTGTGATATTTCTAATGGGAACAATTTACCTATATTCACAGTTTTTTATTTCAACATAGCAATCACACACTGTGGAATCAAGTTATTCACTGTCGGTCAGATATTATAAATTTCCCAACCAGAAATACCACTAAATTGACTTTACTCAAAAATAATACGATTGGAGTTAGTCATTTTGTCAACCTAAAGGCTCACATAGTAGAGAGATTCCCAGAACTTTGATTTCTTGAGATCGGAAAATAAAATAAGACAATCACTTAAAACCTTTTTATATTATACAGCGAAATAAAAAATAAATATTCAAATGAGCAAACCACGAGATTGTTAATGATTCGTTGAAAGAGCGTTGCTAATAGAAAAATGTAAAGATAATAAATGTCTTTACGATGGCAGTACATAAAAGTCAAAAAGTATTTGAACTTTTAGGCAAAAGTGGCACAAAGCCTATCTGCTAATTAGGAGGAGGAGGAGGTTAGAAGGTTAGAGCGGGAGCTAAGATTGGGCTGAGGAGCAGGGTCCAACTTGTTGGGGTTCTTGCCTCATTAAATCAGTTCTATCCCTCTCTCTCTTGGCTCTCTCTTCGTCCTCGGCGGTCGATATTGTGCCCGCTCCCGATCCTCCTTCCGATCTTCTTTGTCGTCCGACGGGGGTTGGCGTCTTCGGATTCGCGGACGAGGTCATCAAGGCTATCGCTGAGCCATGAGCGGAAGAGGTTCTCCAACATGAATCAGTGACTCAAAAGACAATCTAATCAAATGAATATACCTTATACGAACATTATATACATGTCGATCAACAATTTCACAATTATAATTATTCAAAGAACTATCGGAAAATATCTAACTAGCTCTGGACCATTTTCTAAGTGAACATGAAATATTATAAAATTGACTAAATATACAAAAAATGAAACTGTATTAATAAGTAAGATATTATATGATGCGGTTAGATTCAAGAACATTTTGTACTTGCACTTATGAAATTGTCACTTACAACTCTGTCATTATTTCATCATCGAGCTTTGATTAAATCTATAATCATTTCGTTAGTAACATTATTTACTAAACCATATATAAGCAACTATGATACGATCGGTTTAAACATAAACTGAAAATTTATTGTTTTGTTTTTAAATATTAGACAATAATCTGCAATCCTTTGTCCAATGATATAAAACCTTGATGCAAAAAAAGGTAATCCAGGCTGTTTGACTATGTGATCTTAGTTAATAACATGATAGTTAATTGCACCTGTATAAGCCCCTTATGCTCATTTAAGTTTTTTGAAACTCATATAAGTTAATAAAACTATTAAATAATTGAAGTTTAATACAACTATTATAAGTGTCACACAGTTGATATATATTGGCAAAATAAGACTTGCTTTGACAAGTTTTAAAGTAAAAAAAAAAGGAGAAAAGATTTAATAATTATCAAGAAATAGTTAAGGGTAAACAAAGAAAAAATCGAATATAAATAATATATTATACCATCAATTTGTTGAGTAAAGCAAAAGAGAATGAGATTTGGAGCCTGCTTAATTCTTAAAGACCTCTAAAACACAAAGCCGTTAAACAAGGCTTAATAACTTTTGCAACACTTTTGCGTTGGAATCACGCCATAAAACAGCCGACATACAGACAGACTGCTGTAGGGACA